AGGTGTTTGAAAGTGTGTGGATTAATATCTGGGTCTTTGATTTGGTTCCATTGGTCCACCTGTCTGTTTTTATGCCAATACCAGGCTGTTTGCAGTACTGTAGCTCTGTAGTAGAGTTTGAAGTCAAGGATTGTGATGCCTCCAGAAGTTCTTTTATTGTACAGGATTGTTTTGGTTATCTTGGGTTTTTTGCTTTTCCATATGAAGTTGAGTACCATTCTTTCAAGGTCTGTGAAGAATTTTGCTGGGATTTTGATGAGCATTGCATTGACTCTGTAGATTGCTTTTGGTAGAATTGTCATTTTTACTGTTAATTCTACCTACCCAAGAGCATGGGAGATTTTTTCCACTTTCTGGTGTCTTCTTCAATTTCTTTCCTTCAGAGATTTAAAGTTCTTGTCATACAAGTCTTCCACTTGTTTGGTTAGAGTTACTCCAAGATATTTTATGTTATTTGTGGTTGTTGTGAAAGGTGATGTTTCTCTGATTTCTTTCTCAGCCCATTTATCATCTGTGTACAGGAGGGCTACTGATTTTTTGAGTTAATCTTGTATCCTGTTACATTACTGAAAGTGTTTATGAGTTGTAGAAGTTCCTTGGAAGAATTTATGGGGTCACTTATGTAAACTATCATATCATCAGCAAATAATGAAAGTTTGACTTCTTCTTTTCCAATTTGTATCTGCTTGATCTCCTTTTGGTGTCTTATTGCTCTAGCTAGGACCTCAAGAACTATATTGAATAGATATGAAGAGAGTGGAAAACTTTGTCTTGTTCTTGATTTCAGTGGGTTCGCTGGGAGTTTCTCAACATTTAGTTTGATAATGGCTGTTGGCTTGCTGTATATTGTCTTTATTATGTTTAGGTATGTTCTTTGTATCCCTGCTCTCTCCAAGACCTTTATCATGAAGGGATGTTGTATTTTGTCGAAAGCTTTTTCAGCATCTAATGAGATGATCATGTGGTTTTTATTTTTCAGTTTGTTTATATGGTGGATTACATTGACAGATTTTCATATGTTGAACCATCCCTGTATTCCTGGGTTGATGCCGACTTATCATGGTGATGTGTTCTTGGATTTGATTTGCCAGTATTTTATTTAGTATTTTTGCATAAATGTTCATGAGTGAGATTTGTCTGTAATTCTCTTTCTTAATAATGTCTTTGTGTGGTTTGGGTATCAGGGTAATTATGGCCTCATAAAAACAGTTTGGCAATGTTCTGTCTGTTTCTATTGTGTAGAACAATTTAAAGAGTGTTGGTATTCGTTCTTCTTTGAAAATCTTATAGAATTTGGAGCTGAAATCATCTGGTCCTGGGCTTTTTTTTTGGTTGGGAGACTTTTGATGACTATTTCTTCAGCAGTTATAGGTCTGTTTAATTTGTTTATCTGGTCTTGATTTAATTTTGGTAAGTGATATTTATCCAGAAAGTTGTCCATTTCCTTTAAGTTTTCCAATTTTGTGGAGTACAGGTTTTTGAAATATGACCTGATGATTCTCTGTATTTCCTCCATGTCTGTTGTTATGTCCCCCTTTTTATTTCTGATTTTGTTAATTTGGATAGTCTCTCTCTCTGCCTTTTGGTTAGTTTGGGTAAAGGTTTGTCTATTTTGTTGATTTTTCTCAAGGAGCCAACTCTTTGCCTCATTGATTCTTTGTATTGTTTCTATTTTGCTGATTTCAGCTCTCAATTTGATTATTTCCCACCATCTAGTTCTCTTGGGTGAGTTTGCTTCTTTTTGTTCTAGAGTTTTCAAATGTTCTGTTAATCCACTTAATTCACTAGTGTGGGATTTCCCAGCTTCTTTATGTAGGCATTTAGTGCTATGAACTTTCCTCTTAACACTGCTTTCTTTGTGTCCTGTAAATTTGGATATGTTGTGTGGTCATTTTCATTGAATTTTAGGAAGTGTTGAATTTCTCCCTTTATTTCTTCCTTGACCCATTGATGATTTGGGTGAGCATTGTTTAAGTTCCATGTGTTTGTCGGCTTTCTGAAATTATTATTGCTGTTGAATTCTAGTTTTAAGCAATGGTGATCTGATAAGATACATGGGGTTATTCCAATTTTTTTTTATTTGTTGAGGTTTTGTTACCAAATATGTGGTCAGTTTTTGAGAAGGTTCCACAAGGTGCTGAGAAGAAGGTATATTCTTTTATGTTTGGATGGAATATTCTATAGATGCCTATTAATCCCATTTGAGTAATAACATCTGTTAGTTCCCTTATTTCTCTGTTCATTTTTTTTTGTCTGACATGTCCAATGGTGAGAGAGGAGTGTTGAAGTTTCCCACTATTAGTGTGTGGGGTTTAATGTATGATTTAAGCTTTAGAAGTGTTTCTTTTACATATGAGGGTGCCCTTGTATTTGGGGCATAGATGTTAAGTACTGAAATTTCCTCTTGGTGGATTTTTCTTGTGACTAATTCGAAATATCCTTCTTTGTCTCTTTTGATTGATTTTTAGCTTGAAGTCTATTTTGTTAGATATTAGTGTTAGGAATTTTTCCTAACGCGAGCTCTCTGCCAACGTAAAAAATCCCAAATCAAGCCAAATCACAACAAGCCAAATTAAAAAATATTCAGGTTTAATGGGATTCCTGTGCTCTCAGGTGGTTCCCAGGGGCTATCGGAAGGCCACTAACACGACCACCAGGGGGAAGGAAAAGAGACCACGAGGAAACTTTCCAGGGAAGCAGTTTAAATAGACTGAGGGCGTGGTCAAGATTTTGGTAGGCTCATCTTGACCCTCTTCCAGGAAGGGGTCAAGACGTGGTGGGCGAAGGGACGGGGCCTCCAAAGATGGAGGCCAGAGATGGGGCTTACAATTAGGATAGCTACACCAGCTTGTTTCTTAGGTCCTTTTGATTGGAAATTTTTTCCCCCAACCCATTACTCTGATTCAGTGTCTATCTTTGAGGTTGAGGTGTGTTTCTTGTATGCAGAAGAAGGATGGATTCTGTTTTCATATCCAATCTGTTAGCCTGTGCCTTTTTATAGGTGAGTTGATTCCATTTACATTAAGGGATATTAATGACCAGTGATTGCTATCTCCTGTTAATTTAGTTTTTAATCGTTGGTGATGTTTATTTGTGTGTGTGTGTGTGGTGTGTTTATTTTCCCTTCTTTGGGATTTGCTGCTATGAGACCATCAATTGTCTGTGTTTTTGTTGATGTAGTCAATTTCCTTGGGTTGGAGTTTCCCTCTAGTATTTTGTGTAGGGCTGTGTTTGTGGCTAGGTATTGGTTAAATCTGGTTTTGTCATGGAATACCTTGTTTTGTCCTTTTATGGTGATTGACATGACAATTTTTTTTTATCTTCCACTCAATCCATTCTATTTGCAAGGCTTTCCCCTGAGTTTTCTAATTGTGTTACTGTTTACTCAATTCTGTCTTTATTACACCGTAAGCTCTCTTCAATATTTCTCTCTTTATTGGATTTTGGATTTTGTTCCTCGTTTCATTCAGGTACAGATGATTTCTGGTGCATTTATTATTTTTCTCTTTAAGTTCATTGGGCTGTGTTTTGGTGTCTTCCTCATAGTTCATGATTTATTTGATATATTTTATGATTGTTCTTTTAAGTTCCGTGCTCTGGGGTTCAACTATATAATTCACCATAGAGAACACGTATGTGGGACTAGTGGGTTTAGGGAGCGAGACCTACTTTCTTGTTCTTTCGTGCTTTTGGTGTTTTTGTGCTGTATCCTGAGCATGTGGACTCCTTTCTATGGTTGTGCGTCTGTTGTGAGATTCTAGGTGGCATTGGATTGAGTCAGGGCAGAAACTAAATGAATGGAGGCAGGCCGGGAACATCTGGTATATGATCAGCTTAAGAATTAGGTATGGAAGCCAGGCGGTGGTGGTGCATGCCTTTAATCCAAGCATTCAGGAGGCATTGCAGGCAGATCTCTGTGAATTCAAGGACAGCCTGGTCTACAAGAGCTAGTTCCAATAATTAGGTCTGAGAATGTGGAGATGACCCACGGTTATTGAGGGTCAGGGGAACACAGTAGGCAATGGCTGTATGTGAGTTAAGTATCCAGAGACATGCCTGCAAGTGTAGACATAATACAGGGCCAGAGGGGGCCAGAAGAGTATGTGAGGTGTGTGCCTGGGGCTGGTGGTGGTGGTGGTGGTGTGTGTGTGTTTCCCAAATATTTCGTTATCCATTCACTGTTGGAACCAGCAGGAAAGACTGCGCAGGCCACAGACTTAGGCCTGCCCGTGTGGAAAGCAGTGCTGCAGTCTTGTGGAAGGACTTGTTTTCTGAAGTCTTGCTGCCCGAGGCAGCCGAAAAGTGGTGCAGCGGGGTCCTAGCTTGATTTCTCAGGCATGTGTCCAAGCATGTAAACTCTCTCTCCTCAGGCCCCAAATGGCATTGCCGTGTCCTCTCCCATAGATGAATTTATTCATTCCTCCATTATTGTGGTTTTTCTTTTATTATCCTTTTGAGACAGGGTTTCTCTGTGTAGCCCTGACTGTCCTGGAACTCGCTCTGTGGACCAGGCTGGCCTCGAACTCACAGAGATCGGCCTGCCTCTGCCTCCCGAGTGCTGGGATTAGAGCCATGGACCACTACCACCCACAGTTTTGTTTGTTTCAGCTCAAGATGTCCTTTGTCACCACCCTGTAGAGTGACTCCTCATGTTCTCTCTCGGCACATGCTGGGCTTCCTGAGGACACTCATCTCCCCCCCCCCAGCACTAATATTTTATTGGCTGTGTGCTCGTTATGGTCCATTTGCATCCCCCTCAAAGTCAGTCATCACGGGGACTATATTCCCTTGAGCATGAGTGCAGGGAAATGCATTTTGACTTGAGTGAGCCGTTGCTCTAAAGCTCTGGAAGAGTGACCTCAGGAAAAGGGAAATTTTTCATTACTCATGAGACGGGCCTTGTTAGTGGTCACGTACTGTTGTAGATTGGTTTCTCCAGCAATGAGAAGATAGTCACAACTGGTTTTTGTTTGTTGTTTGTTTGTTTGTTGTTTATTCAGCTGGGAAGCCTTTCATCTCTCTGGAGGGCCCAGAACAGAGGATGACCACTGCAAAGCCAGTGACCTTCACCTGCACGGCTGGCCTTTTCAGCTCCAGGAACCTCAGTGTCAACTGGCTGAAGGACAATAATAAACATCCAGCTTCAGCCCCAGAACTGATGCCTATCAGCAAAGATGTTTACTATGTCACAAGCAAGGTATCCGTGGCATTGGCCAAACATGATATCTTTTCTCAGATCACTTGTGAAGTCACCCATGAGGACCTCGATGAGCCCCTAACAATGACCATCAATCTTTCCCATGTGATCCTAGGTGAGTGAGCAGTGAAACACATGGTGGGACCGCACTGGTAGCACGGAGGCTTTGCCCAAAGCCCCGTTTTACAATGGGAAATAGAAATTGATCATCGCCAGCCTTGAACAGATGGATATGGATGAAAAGTACAGGTCCATGGGCTGGCCAGCTGGGCTTTGATCTTAGCTCTACCATTTCATAGGCTGTATAATATTGGTCATGTGTCTTAAATGTTACGTGCCCCAGTTTCCCTAAAAATTTAGAATAAAACCATTTTTGGTAAGTTTCCTCTGAAGATTAAACCTGTTGTTCCTTCTAGAACATCAAGAAGGAATTGTGCCCAGTGCACTGAAAGTCATTTACGAATGTTTGACCTTACTATTGTATGGATCCTAGCATCCTTCTCTAAACATATTTTCCTATTTATATCCTTGTTAATGGTTAAATGTTTCTAAATACTTATTATTAGTGGGAGATTGTGGTATAAGGCTTGTAATCTCAGTTCCTTGGGAAACAGGCAGAGATATAACAAATTCCAGGCCTGTAAGGGTCAAGATTGAGTGCAAGGACAGCCTAGACATTTTGTGAAATAAAATACAATAAAATAAGTGAAAAATGGGTCTGAGGATGTACTTCAGTGGCGGAGTGCTTGTCTGTTATGCATCAGATCCTGAGTTCTGAGAATTCTTTAGCATTGTATAAAATATAATTCACTCATAAAATGAACATCTACTATATGCCAGGCACTGTTGAAGATTTTGTCCCTGATCTTGTGGGGCAATTCACTTTAATAATTCCTGTGATTCTATGTCACAATATGGAATATTTAAAACACAGACCGGACTACATATCCACGTGTCTCCAGCTATGTTTCATGAATACTTGTCCCGACTTAACTCACATGAAACATATAAAAACATATAAAAATTGTTCATTTAAAAAGGGTGAACTCGTGAACTCTCTTCATTGGGAACTCCCAGCAGCTGGAAGAGAACTGCAAGAGATCAGGCCACTTGACTTCCAGCATGAACTGGAGATCTCATGGACCCTGCCCTATAGCTGTGGGTCTCCCGTGCTTTCTGAAGGCATGAGAGAGAGTTTTCCTTAAGAGTGTGGCCCTGGTAGGTCAAGCATGCTCCAGTGTCCCAAACCCACGAGCATATAGACAGCAAAAATTATACTAGCTGGAATAAAAAAAAAAAAAAGAAAAGAGGGGCTGAAGATTGGTTTAGTGGAGGCAGAAGGCTCAGGAACTCAAGATCATTCGTAGCTACATAGTGAGTTAAAGGTCATCTTGGAATTCTTGGGCCACTGCCAACCAACCAACCAATCACATCTTAACAAAACAATCCAGAGACCCTGGGACAGGGAACTAAGACAGTAACAAAATTTCACCTGTTTTCTTCCTGCTCCTGTCTAGTTATCCCTACACTGAAGATCACCGTGGAGCCCTCGCAGATCCAAGATCATGCGCATCAAAGAGTGAACTTGACTTGCCACATAAACCACTTCTACCCCCCAGTTGGGCAGCTTGTCTGGATTAAGAATAAGTACAAGATCCTGACTCTCACGCTCTCTCAGGCCACAAGGAACTCCGATGGGACGTACTCTCTAAAGCACACACTGCAAGAAGGTGCCATATGGGATGAGAGCACCTTTATCTGCATGGTGATCCAGGTCGACCAGCCTCCCCTGAGGATCAGCACTACCCTGGGAAGCCAGACCCCCAGTAAACGCAGAGGTATGTGTCTTGTCTCCTTTTACCACCGGGCCATCGTTGCTGTGATATGATTCTTCTGTATGCTGTAAATATGTAATACTCTCATTGGTTAATAAGAAATTTGTTTGATTTATAGCAAAGCAGGATAAAAGTAGGCCAGACAAGCAAACTGGGAATTGGGATGAAGGTGGACAGAGTTAAAAGAGACATGAGCAGGTTGCCCAGAAAACCCTATAAAGCCACGGACCATGAGGCGATGCATAGATGAATAGAAATGGGTTAATTTAAAAGAAAGAGCTAGTTAATAATTAGCCTAAACTATTGGCTGAGCACGTCGTAATTAATATCACTTCTGTGTATTTAGTTGTACCCAGGCCATCAGGACAGAAAAGCTTCCCCGCTATTTACATTGTGGTTGAAGAGCTAGACTCTGGGAAACCCTTGGTAGAAGTAGAGAAAGGAAGCCCTCCCTAGTGAGAATGCTGTGGCATAGCCATCCCCACCTGCACCCCCTTTCTTCCAGATATTTCCACCAAGAAATGAGTCTCCCTTGCTGCACTCATCATGGTGCAAGTTTCTTTTCTTCTTAACCCTTGGTTGCAAGAAATCGCCAGCGTTAAGGACAGCCGGGCTCCAAATAATGTGTGGGAAAAGCAATTAATGAGGATGTGAATTCAGCTGCATGTTTCTGGAAATCAACTTTGAAGAGCTCCAGAATTACTGACTCCCTTAGCTAGGGAAAGGGTCACACAGCGTGGGTGTCAATCCCCCGTCACTCCCTTCTCTCTGCTCCTTTCCCTTCTTTCTATGCACAGGGCTCCTGATTTCTTCTATTTCTTCCCCATTTCACTCTTTGCAGACTCACACTATTCTCCCACAAGGGGGCGCTGTGCCGTTACACTCCAGAGCTTCCTGGTTTCTTTATCCAGCTATGCTTCACACTCTTGGGAGAAGGGGCTGCTGTTCTGAAGCAGACCTGTTAGTGCAGGTGCACAGTCAGGGAGAGATACAAGAAAATGTCAAGGGCAAGTCAGGGGACGGCAGCGTGTGGGCTTTTCCTTACAGTGCACGTGGGCTCTCTGCAGTGTATTGTAGAACAGGTAGCTATCAGAGAAGGAGCAGAGATGCCAGGCAACCAAACAGCCCATTCTCACAGCAGGCTTCCACCCTGATTTCCATCTAGTCCTGTGGCAGAACCAGCCCTTTTCTGGTTGCTGTAAGAATTCTCAAAGATAATGATCTCCACATTTCTTTGGGTCCTGTTTTGATTGTCCAGTGGAAATAAGAAAAATATCCACATCGTGGGATGTATAGATCTGGGTGACAAACCCCAAAACCAGCAATTCCTCAGCCCTAGCAGCTTCCATGGCTAGAATTCTTTATCCCCATAAAAATCAGATAGAAGTTTTTACACACAGAGATCTGTGGTTGTCAGCTCAAAGGTGGGAGTGGCTTAGTGCACTTTCTTAATGGAGACAGTTAAGAAATGGATTAAATCATCAGGGAATTCTAGAGGGGAAGGCAAGTGCACTTTGCTACATTTTTAGGTTGTTAGAGCAAGAACTAAAATGTTTAGCTTTCAGTAAATTTACAAATAGGGCATGGATTGTTTTTTAAATCAGTACACCACTTTTTTTGTCCCAGCATTCATGCAGGGTATTGGGTAATCAAGAAACCTATGTAAATAATCAGGGTGAAGCTATGGCTCCTGGTTTGATAACACATTCACCAGATGGTGTAATTTCTATGGGCCTTCAAGTCTGGAGTTTGCACCTATTGCTCCAAGCAATAGAAACAAAGAAGAGACCCAGGTCTCTAAATTATCAGTATATATATACAGTTTAGTATACAATATATGCCTTCAGGCCAGAAGAGGGCACCCGACCTCATTACAGATGGTTGTGAGCCACCATGTGGTTGCTGGGAATTGAACTCAGGACCTTTGGAAGAGCAGGCAATGCTCTTAACTGCTGAGCCATCTCCCCAGCCCCTAAATTATCAGTTTTAAGGTATGCTGTTATCAGCCGTTCTGATCGTGGGCATTGTGGGTCTGTGTGCCAGCAGGAAGGAGGTCTTTCTCTGGGTTGTGGTTAATCATCTCTTCTGCTGTCCTTGAGAGTTAAACACAAGCAGTAAAATCATCAGAAAACCGAGGTGAAAGTAAGCGTAAGGAGTTAGGGACCTTTTAATGTAATGTTAGTTTGGGGTCATTGTATTCCTTACCCATAAGTGAGGTAAAACCAGGGCCTGCTTATTCTTCTATCCATCGGAGCAGATATGAATTAGCAGATTTTGGCAAGCAGTAATTCTGTGCCCTTGGATGTTTGTGAATATCTTAAATGCAATGCTCTTACTTGGACTGTTGGTAAAGATAATTGTAAGAACGCAGGTCTCTGTATTTACCTAGGAGAGAGAAACGAAGGCCTGGCAGTGGGAAACTGTTCTTACACGTAGCTAGGAGAATACAATCGCTAAACCCCCAAAGCACAGGAAAGAGCATAGAAAATGATGGAACAGTTTTGAACTATGGAAATTAATCCCCAAATTTGTAGCAGAGGGGGAACCAGCTACAGTGAAGAATCTACAGCAACAACCAGCCACTTTATTCACTAAGCAATAATACCAAAAGACTGCTTTTGGGTTTGAAACCTTCACCCAAAGCCCCTGACTTTGATGAGTCCCTCGTAAAAAGACGGCTGAATAATGACTGTAAAATGTTGCTGCCTGTGGCATCAAATCCTATCGGAAGATATTTGCTTTTCTTGAATGTCACATCTGTCTATGCCACCCATCCCCCACAAACAAGTGCTTGAACTTCAGGGACATCTGAGAGCCCAGGTCTGCAGCTTCATTATGCCTGTCCCTCTTCTGCATGTCTCCCTCCCCACCTTGGGGTTTATGTGTAAACTTTGCCCTTGAAGGCATCAGAGTGGCCAGTGCCTGTGTGACCCCAGGTACACAATTTCCTTTTTAATTTGTTTCATCTGTCAGTGCGAGATGGCAAGGATTCCCTCCCTGGGCTCCTGCGTGGTATCTGAACACTGGGGGCACAGTTGAGCTTCTGCAGTGATGATTCCAAGTTTACATGGTGCCTGTCCCAGAGCTGGACTGAAAGCAAGACAATATTAAAAATCGGAGATGTGGAGGCAGATTTTTTTTGTTATAGGTATATAGAAAAGCATATATAGATTTTTGTAAGTTGATTTTGTTTATTTATTTATTTATTAAAGATTTCTGTCTCTTCCCCACCGCCACCTCCCCTTCCCCTCCTCCTCCCCCAATCAAGTCCCCCTCCCTCGTCAGCCCAAAAAGCAATCAGGGTTCCCTGCCCTGTGGGAAGTCCAAGGACCACCCACCTCCATCCAGGTCTAGTGAGGTGAGCATCCAAATTGCCTAGGCTCCCACAAAACCAATAGGTGCAGTAGGATCAAAAACCCATTGCCATTGTTCTTGAGGTCTCAGTAGTCCTCATTGTCCGCTATGTTCAGCGAGACCGGTTTTAACCCAGGCTTTTTCAGACCCAGGCCAGCTGGCCTTGGTGAGTTCCCGATAGGACATCCCCATTGTCTCAGTGTGTGGGTGCACCCCTCGCGGTCCTGAGTTCCTTGCTCGTGCTCTCTCTCCTTCCGCTCCTGATTTGGACCTTGAGATTTCAGTCTGGTGCTATCCTGAGTGAGGTAAGCCAGACCCAAAAAGAGGAACATGGGATGTACACACTCATATTTGGTTTCTAGCCATAAATAAAGGACATTGAGCCTATAATTCGGGTTCTTAGAGAAGCTAAATAAGAAGGAGAACCCAAAGAAAAACATGTAGGCATCCTCCTGAACATTAACCTTCATCAGGCGATGTAAGTTGATTTTGTATTTTATTCCTTTGTTGACATTGACGAGAATTTCTAGAAGTTTTCTGATGGCCCTTTGGGGTCTGTTAAGTATAAATAAATTATATAAATGGACATCCAGATAAAACTCATATGCTCATCTCAACAGGTGCAAAACAGGCCTTTGACAAAATTCATTGTGCCATCATGCTAGTCACAGAAGGATTTCATCATTACATATCTTCTGGAAATGGGGATAATTCAACTTCCTTTCTGACTGAACCCCATTCATTGTGTCTCCTGTTTTATTGCTGTAGCTAGTTCTCCAAGCACTATAAGGCAAGAATGGGGTGGGTGAACAGCTCTTGTCACTGCTGATTTTAGCAGGAGTGCTTCAAGTGCTTTTCCATCTAAGATGATGTGGACTATGGGCTTGTCACATGTGGCCGCTGATGTCCTTCTACAATTTATATAATGAACACATATTGACCTTTTGTCAAAGACCTTTTTGGCATCTATAGAGATGAGCACATGATTTCTGTCTTGACATTCATATGATTTATTAAATGCATTGAGTACTTATCAATCCTTGCATTTCCAGGAGATAGCCAACTTGATAGTGGTAGATGACTTTTTTAATGCATAGCCATATAAAGTTTGCAATTAGTTTGTTGAGAACTTTTACGTCTCTGTTCACCTTGCACATTGGCCTGTAGTTATCCTTATAGTTGTATCTTTGCCTGGTTTGTATGTAGGGTAACACTGGCTTTGTAGGAAGAGATTGGAAGTGTTACTTCTGTTTCTATTTTTTAAAAAAAATTTAGGAGTGTTGTGGTAGATTGTGGTGGTATCTTGTTTGTGCTTTAACAAATAAAGCTCGCATGAAGATCAGAGTATGGAGCTAGTCACTAGTTAGCCATAGAGGTCAGGCAGTGGTGACACACACCGTTAATCTCAACACTCAGGAGGCAGAGTCAGGTGGATCTCTATGAGTTCATGGCCACCATGGGCTTCAATGAGATTGATCCAGTCGAAAAGAGAAGCAGAATCAAGTAGCGGTGTCTCATACCTTTAATCCAGGTACCTGGGAGTCACACACATTTAATACCAGCACTAGGGAGGTGAAGACAGGAAGGGATATGGCAAGGGAGAGAGAAATATAAGGCGGGAGGAGACAGGAGGTCATTACATTCAGTCTGAGGATTCATGGAGACAGGAGCATGCCCACTTTGGTCTGGGGATTCAGCAGAGGTGAAAGGTCTCACTAGTGGCTCCTTTACTTCTCTGCTCTTTTATTATTAAGACCAATTAGAATCTGAACTACAGTAGATCTTTGACAGTCCTGTACGATTCTGCTATGAATCTGTCTTAGCCTGGATTGCTTTGTTTTGCTTGGTTTGTTATCTCTATTTTTTATTGCTGTTTCCATCTCTGTATTTGTTTTGGGTTTATTTAAGTTGTTTATCTCTTTTTGGTTCATCTTTGGTGGTTTGGGAGAATCTAGAAATTTGTTTATTTACTTTCTTATGGACTATAGATTCCAAAGGTATTCCTTTAGAATCTTCTAGATCTCTTTGATGTATATTATAATGTTTTCCTATTCATATCTGGTTCTGTTGAGCTATCTATCTCCTTTCTTTCAACTAACTGGACTAGCAGTCTGTCAATCTTTATCTTCTCAAAGGATCACCTCTCAGATTTGTAGATTCTTTATACTGTTTTCTTTACTTATTCTTTGATATCTAAAAATTTTAAACCAACTTTATTATAAAAACTTATAAAAATTACACACCGAAGTTAGCTAGACCCAACATCGAGACTGATCAACGAACTTTTATACAGTTAGGCTATCCATTTTGAATGGAAGTTGTATAGCTTCATTGGACTTTACACTTTCAATATTGAATATATTTTATATATTCACCTACCATCAAAATAAAAAAATCCACAACAGAGGTGAAACTGAAGCAATTAAATATTGTATCCCATTTCATAAGTCATATCCATTACCTGCATTCATTTCTTTCTCTTTTCCTATCATACAGCCTTTCTTGTTCTCTTCTCTACTTTGTTTACATATTTGCTTATATGGTTGGTTAGATTCCACCTATGAGAGGGAATATGCAGTTTTCTTCCACCTGAGGTTTTGTGATCTCACTTAAGATTATGCATTAGAAGTCCATCCGTTTTCCATCAGATTTTGTGATTACATTTTTCTTCAAAGCTCAATAGCACAAACGTGTGTGTGTGTGTGTGTGTGTGTGTGTGTGTGTCCCAAATATTTCGTTATCCATTCACTGTTGGAACCAGCAGGAAAGACTGCGCAGGCCACAGACTTAGGCCTGCCCTGTGGAAAGCAGTGCTGCAGTCTTGTGGAAGGACCTGTTTTCTGAAGCCTCCTAAAGTCTTGCTGCCCGAGGCAGCCGAAAAGTGGTACAGTGGGGTCATAGCTTGATTTCTCGGGCGTGTGTCCAAGCATGTGCTCTCTCTCCTCAGGCCCCAAATGGCATCGCCGTGTACTCTCCCATAGATGGATAAGTGTTCCTCCATTATTGTGGTTTTTCTTTTATTATCCTTTTGAGACAGGGTTTCTCTGTGTGGCTCTGGCTGTCCTGGAACTCACTCTGTAGACCAGGCTGGCCTTGAACTCACAGAGATCTGCCTGCCTCTGCCTCCCGAGTGCTGGGATTAGAGTCATGGGCCACTACCACCCACCGTTTTGTTTGTTTCAGCTCAAGATGTCCTTTGTCACCACCCTGTAGAGTGACTCCTCATTTTCTCTCTCTGCACATGCTGGGCTTCGTGGGGACACTCATTCCCCCGCCCCCCCAGCAGTCGTATTTTATTGGCTGTTTGCTCACTATGGTCCATTTGCATCCCCCTCAAATTCAGATAGCACGGGTACTATATTCTCCCTTGAGCATGGGTGCAGGGAAATGTGTTTTGACTTGAGTGAGCCATTGCTCTAAACCTCAGGAAAAGGAATAATTTTTATTACTCATGAGACGGGCCTTGTTAGGGTTTACATACTCTTGTATATTACTGGTAACTCTAACAATGAGAAGGTGATCACATCTGGAGTTTGTTATTGTTTTTTTGTTTTGTTTTGTTTTGTTTGTTTTTTTTTTTTTTTTTTTCAGCTGGGAAGCCTTTCATCTCTCTGAGTGGCCCCGATGAGAGGAAAAAGACAGGCATTTCAGATTTAGTCCCTTTTAACTGCACCGCTGGCCCTTTCAGCTCCAGGAACCTCAGTTTTAATTGGCTGAAGGACAATAATGAACTCCCAGCCTCAGCCCCACAACTGGTGCCTATCAGCAATGACTCTTTCTACGTCACAAGCAAGGCGTGGGTGCTATTGGCCAAACAAGATATCTTGTCTCAGATCACCTGTGAAGTCACCCATGAGGACCTCGATGAGCCCCTAACAATGACCATCAATCTTTCCCACGTGATCCTAGGTGAGTGAGCAGTGAAACACACAGTGGGACCGCACTGGTAGCACGGAGGCTTTGCCTAAGGCCCCGTTTTACAATGAGGAATAGAAATTGATCATTGCCAGCCTTGAACAGATGGATATGGATGAAAAGTACAGGCTCCATGGGCTGGCCAGCTGGGCTTTGATCTTAGCTCTACCATCTCATAGGCTACACAATATTGGTCAATGGTCCGTGCCCCAGTTTCCCTAAAAAATTGGAATAAAACCAACACCTTTCTGGTAAGTTTCTTCTGAAGATTAAGGCAGCTGTTTTTTTTCTAGAACACCAAGAAGGAACTGTGTCTAATGCGTGGTACGTTGTTTATGAGTGTTTGATCTTACTACTGTATAGACCTAGCATCTCTCTCTAAATATATTTGCCCTATGCATACCATTGCCAATGTTTAAAATTTCTAAATATTTATTATTAGAGAGAGATTGTGGGATAAGGTGCCACACGCCGCGCCCCCGTGTCTGCGCTCGATGCGCTATTACCCAGTTACCAAGCTTCACGCAAGGGGCTGGAGGTTGAAAACTCAGACGCAGAGACAGACTGACACACGCAGCTCCCAAAGCTGGTTAAGAAAGCCCATCTTTATTAACACCATGTAAACTTAAATACACTGCAGTTAATAGTCAACAGGTGATCCTCTGATCCGCTAACTAGGCACAGCTTCTAGTAACTTATATTAGAAGGTTCTAGGAGGGAAAAGCAACTGAAGGCCAGGACTCATTAATCCCAGGACTCATTGATCCCAACAATAAGGCATGTAATCTCAGCTCCTTAGGAAACAGGCAAAGATATAACAACTTCCAGACCTGTAGGGGTTAAGACTGAGTTCAAGTCCAGCCTAGACAATTTAGTGAAATAAAATGAAATAAGTAAAAAACAGAGCTGAGCTTCTCCTTCAGTGGTGGGGTGCTTGTCTTCTATGCATTAGATCCTAAGTTCTGGGGAATCATTGGCATTGGGTAGAATATTATTCACTCAATAAACAATGAACAGCTTCTGTGTGCCAGACACTGCTGTAGGTGTTGTGATTACAGAGTCCCTGATCTTGTGGGGCAATTGACTTTATTAATTCCTATAATTATATGTCACAATGTGGAATATTTAAAACAGACCAGACTACATATCCACGTGTCTCCAGCTATGTTTCATGAATACTTGTCCCGACTTAACTCACATGAAACATATAAAAACATATAAAAATTGTTCATTTAAAAAGGGTGAACTCGTGAACTCTCTTCATTGGGAACTCACAGCAGCTGGAAGAGAACTGCAGGAGATCAGGCCACTTGGCTTCCAGCACGAGAAGGTCTTCGTGGACCCTGCCCCATAGCTGTGGGTCTCCTGTGCTTTCTGAAAGAATGAGAGAAAGTTTTCCTCAAGGGTGTGGCCCTGGTAGGTCAAGCACGCTCCAGTGCCGTGAGCATATAGAACGCATGAATTAGACTAGTTGGAATATAAGAAAAGAGGAGCTGAAGAGATGGCTTCGTGGAGGCAGAAGGATCAGGAACTCAAGATTATCCCTGGCTACATAGTGAGTTCAAGGTCGCCTTAGAATTCTTGGGAGCCTGCCAATCACCCAATCAATCAAATCTTAACAAAACGATCCAGAGACCCTGGGGCAGGGAAATAAGACAGCACCAAAATGTCACCTCCGTTTGCTTTTTGTTCCTATCTAGTTGTCCCCACAGTGAAGATCACCAAGCAACCTCCAGAGATCCATGATCATGCGCATCAAAGAGTCACCTTGACTTGTCACGTGAATCACTTCTACCCCCCAATCAGACAGCTCACCTGGACTAAGAATAATAACAAGATGCTTAGCGTCGAGCACCTGCAGACCACGAGAAATTCCGACGGGACATACTCTCTAAAGCACACACTGGAGGAAGATGCCGCATGGGATGAGAGCACCTTTAGCTGCTGGGTGTTCCAGTCTGACCAGCCTCCGCTGTGGGTCAACATCACCCTGGGAACACAGCACCCCACTAAGGGCAGAGGTGTGTGCCTTGTCTCCTCTGTTCTCGGGGCATTGTGACTGAAGGGCTAGAGCCTCGGGGAAACCCTTGGTAGAAGTAGAGAAAGGAAGCCCTCCCTAGTGAGAATGCTGTGGCATAGCCATCCCCACCTGCACCCCCTTTCTTCCAGATATTTCCACCAAGAAATGAGTCTCCCTTGCTGCACTCATCATGGTGCAAGTTTCTTTTCTTCTTAACCCTTGGTTACAAGAAATCGCCAGCGTTAAGGACAGCTGGGCTCCAAATAACGTGTGGGAAAAGCAATTAATCAGGATGTGAATTCAGCTGGATGTTTCCGGAAATCAACTTTGAAGAGCTCCAGAATTACTGACTCCCTTAGCTAGGGAAAGGGTCACACAGCGTGGGTGTCAATCCCCCGTCACTCCCTTCTCTCTGCTCCTTTCCTTCCTTTCTATGCACAGGGCTCCTGATTTCTTCTATTTCTTCCCCATTTCACTCTTTGCAGACTCACACTATTCTCCCACAAGGGGGCGCTGTGCCGTTACAATCCAGAGCTTCCTTGTTTCTTAATCCAGCTATGCTTCACACTCTTGGGAGAAGGGACTGTTGTTCTGAAGCAGACCTGTTAGTGCAGGTGCACAGTCAGGGAGAGATACAAGAAAATGTCAGGCACGGGCAAGCCAGGGGACGGCAGCGTGCGGGCTTTTCCTTACAGCGCACGTGGGCTCTCTGCAGTGTATTGTAGAACAGGTAGCTATCAGAGAAGAAGCAGAGATGCCAGGCAACCAAACAGCCCATTCTCACAGCAGGCTTCCACCCTGATTTCCATGTAGTCCTGTGGCAGAACCAGCCCTTTTCTGGTTGCTGTAAGAATTCTCAAAGATAATGATCTTCACGTTTCTTTGGGTCCTGTTTTGGTTGCCCAGTAGAAATAAGACAAATATCCACAAGGTGGGATGTATAGATCTGGGTGACAAACCCCAGAATAATGCTTTTTCATAGGAAGCAAGTCTCATGATGTTTTAACAAAGTTTTTCTATTTTATTACTATGGTGAGAGCTGTATACAAGGCACTAACACATCTCTGTAGCTGTCCCTTCCCACGCATCCCAGATCCCTGTCCTCAGCACCAGACTCCTGCACACATCCACTCACACCCTGTTCTATCTGGTTAGAGCCTTCAGAGCTCTCCCTCCATGTCACCTACAGAGCACCAAGTGCTCATCACCCACAGAGCAGGCACTGCATAGCAGTGGTCCCGCTGCCCCAGCTCACACTATGAGGCTCTGGCAGGCAGCAGCCAGAGGAAGGTATGAGTCACAGCCAGCAGCACTAGGCTTACAGAGCAGCTGCCAGATCACAAGCTCGGTGCGGTGTTTCTGTATGCTGTCTTCTTTGTCACCTGAGGGTACAGACCTTATGCTTGTCACAAATCATTTCTCAAATCTTATTGGAAGGTTTTTACTTTTCTGGAAATGTCACATCTGTCTATGCCATTCAGTTCCGACAACCAAGTACTTAAACTTTAGTGATGTCTGAGAGCCCAGGTCTGCAGCTTTATCCTGTATGTCCCCATCCCCAGCTCTTGGAGCTTATATGTGAACTGTATCTTTTCTTGAGCATCATCCAGGCATTTACTGATATATCCTTTAAGTTCATTGGGCTGTCTGTGTCTTCTTTAAGCTCTTTGGATTCTTCAATGGCATTTATAATTTTTCCTTTAGGTTTTCCCCCGTGGTTCATCTAGGTATCCTTCAGTGGGAAATGTTTCTATAGTACTAGTGATTGCTGGGGCTGGGCATGCCAACCTGGCCATTCATAGCTGTGTTTTTGCTATTGACCTAGGCGTGTGGATTTCTTTCCCTGGTTGTGTGTCTGAAGTATGATTCTTCCTTGCTTCCTGCTGGGATGGTGCAAGAACTGTGTGGCCAGAGCTAGACTTGGGTTCAGAGATGGAATGGTTAGTTTTGGTTCTGAGTAGGCTTACTAGGAAGATCTACTGCGAAAGCTGTACTTCTGGAGCTAGATGTGTGCAGATGGGCTTGGGGGAACTCATCAGGAAAATCCAATGGGTGACTCTTGCTCCCAGAACTAGACCTGAAAGTGTAGGAATGCCACTTGCAGAATTGTGGGACTTTTTGGGGAAAACCAATGCATGAGCCTGTGTTTATTATTTTAAAGATAATAACAACCCCTCAAGTGGTCCTTTGAGATTTTGATGTTGTCCTTGACACTTTTAAAGTGGTTACCAAGCATCATACATTCAACATCAGCTTCCTTACTTGTTAACCCCAAGAAATAAGATTCACCCCACTTTGTTAAAGAGTGAGAGGCATGAAAAGTTAAGTTGTTAGGACGCGTGTGTGTGTGTGTGTGTGTGTGTGTGTGTGTGTGTGTGCGTGTTACAGATGTAGTTTGGATCCCAAAGCTTAAGGCCTGCCTATGGGCATTAAGAGATTTCCCTTAGCCCACCAACTCCAGCCTGACAGTAAGGGAACCAGGATAGGACCAAATTAGGCCCTCTGAATGTAGGTGACAGTTGTATGGCTACAGCAGACTGTGGGGACACTCGCAGTGGGACCAGGATTTATTGACCGGCTAAATATGAAATTATGAAAATTGGAGAGCTGGTTTTGACTGGCTAAATATGAACTTATAAGAAAAATTTGAAGATCGGTATCGACTGCTTATATTGGCTTTTTGAAACCCATTCTCTTTGGAGGGATACCATGCTCAGACTAGATATAGTAGTGGAGGGCCTTGGTCCTGCCTCAAAGCAATGTGCTAGATTTTGTTGACTCCCTGTGGGAAGCCTTACCATCTCTGAGGAGTGGATGGGGTAAGATAGGAGGAAAGGGGGAGGGAGCAGGAAGAGAGGAGGGAGTGGGAACTGGGATTGATATGCAAAATGAGAAAAGATAGTTCTTTTAAAAAAATTAATTGATTAAAAAAAGAAAAATTTCCCTTTAGCAGTGACTGAAGGAAAGACTGAGTATAAGGTCAGAAGCCTAGACCCTGGGACTAGACTACCTGGTTTTGAACTCCTGGCTGTGCCACTAATTACAAACTTGGACCTGTTCTCCCATCCATTGCTGCCTCCTTTTTCTTGCTTGTGAACTGGGGATGTTGACAGCTACATGTAAAGTTGCTGGGGGAGGGGGATTTGACAAATTCTAGAAGAGCCTGGGAGCCTGGCATTGCTTGCTATGAGTGTTTTCTATGTGGTGTTGGTCTGCTGAGCTGCGTGTTCTTTGGTCTTATTGTTTGCCATCTGCAAGCAGCTTCAGAATCCTCCCACCAGCAGGAAATATCCAAATCTCCACGAAAGAGGAAGTGATGGGACTTTGCGAGGGGGGTTCCAGGAAACTGTTGGCACTGGCATTTGATGTGATGTGGAGCATCTCTTCTTTCAGGAAGGAAAGACTACGCTAACCACCTCGAAGGCCCCCTGCAGCGGTATTCACCGGGGACAAGCATCCAGCTGAAGTACACATCCTCTGGGTTACCAACGCGTCAGGTTACTGTGACCTGGCTCAAAAACAACCACAGCCTTCTCCAAACCCAGACCAACGTCTTATCCAGTGGAAACGGCTATAATGTGACTAGCAGTGTGCTCATCCCACTGGAGAGCAGTGACATCCTCTCCTCAGTTCTCTGCCGGGTTGAGCACAAATCGTCAGTGGTTTTCCAGAAGGTCATCACCTTGGACCAGTACCTCCGTGGTAAGACTTTTCTCTTTCTGGAGAAGGTAATGCTGAGATGGGCTGTGGGCTGCTCTTGGTGTCAGTTTACTCGTGGAGGAATGGCCTTACTTGGTGGTGACACCAGAAACAGAATCTGTGACGTTCTTCACGCCACAGACTGACTACGCAGAAGTGGCATTTGCTGTTGTCATAACTACCCGTACTAACTCAGAATCACTTTCTTCATTTGAAAAACAGATAGAATGTCTACCCTCTGGGATTTGGTTATAGTATTGCTATTCTAAAGAAAGAATACTAGAAGGGCTTGGTGAGCTTCTAAAGTGTAGGGACTGTGTTGTCCTGAGATCATAACGACCTGGACGAGAGTCTGAGTTTTCCTTTCGTTGGTCTTCACAGGATGCGCCCGTGCTTGGTAGATCTGTAAAGTCAGGGAGATCATGATGTCTCATACCTAGGAGTAAATTTAAAGGTTCAAAACTGACCAATAAAAAATTAACTCTCTAAAGCCTATAAATTTACAAAATATTTCCTTCTCATTTTTTGTATCTGCACAATAGAATAAAGATGTTATCATTATGGAAGCAACTCCATCATTTTACATGGACAAAAATACGAATATCACCGCCTCCAGAAAGCATAGTTCACTACATTATGGGGTGGGGGTCCTGCCTTACTTAATTGGCCCAGGTGTCTTGTACTCTTTGTCTCATTCTTAAAGGTGACAGATTCAGACATGAAAGCACCCAGTACTGAAAAGCTGTTGAGCAAATGAATGATCTCTACCCAACTCTATTTATGTATTCAGGTTGCTTGTGTTATCGGCTTTGGTATGTTTGGATGTCAAATAGGAAAAGGTAGTTCAGGGAGGCCTCTTTTTTTCTTTAATATATTTATTTATTTGTTTGTTTGTTTTACATCCCAAGTGCAGTTTCTTCTCCCTCCTCCCCTCCCAGTCTCTCCCCTACCTTCTACTCCCCCCCCATTCCACTCCAATTCCTTTTCTATTCAGAAAAGAGCAGGCCCCCTACTGATATCGACAAAACATGGTATATCAAGTTGTAGTAAGATTAAGCACCTTGCCTTGTATTAAGGCTGGGCAAGGTGACCTAAGGATGAAGAATAGGGTCCCAAAAGCAGATAACAGAGTCAGACAGCCCCCGCTCCCACTATTAGGAGTCCCACAAGAGGACCAAGCTACACAACTGTAACATATATGTAGTGTGCCTAGGTCAAGTCCATGCAGGCTCTCTGGTTGTCGGTTTAGTCTCTGTGAGATCCTATGAGCCCAGGTTAGTAGATTCTGTGGGTTTCTTTGTGATTCCCTTGACTCTTTGGTGCCTACAATCATCTCTCCCTCTCTTCAGCAGGATTCCCTGAACTTGTCTTTATGTTTGACTGTGGTCTGCATCTGTTTTCACAATTTGCTGGATGAGCCTCTCTGATGACTATGGGGCTAGGGACCAATCTATGAGTATAGCAGAATATCCTTGGTCATCATTGCATTGGCATTTTCTCCAGTCATGTTTGGTTCTCTCCTAGGTCTCTAGGCCATCCAGACTCTGGGTCCAGGCAGTGTCAGGGGTAGGCTCATTCTCATGGTATGGGTCTCAGGCTGGACCAGTCATTGGTTGGCTACTCCCACCAGTCTCTGTATCACCCATATCCCAGCACATCCTATAGGCCAGACAGAGTGTAAGTCAAAGGTTATGTAGTTGGCTTGGTGTCCCAGTACCTTCACTGGTAGTCTTGCCCGGTCACAGGAAGTGGCCAGTTCAGGCCACATATCCTCTTTTGCTAGGAGTCTTAGTTGGGGGTCTCCTTGTAGATTCCTAGGAGTTTCCCTTGTACCAATTTTCTACCAGACCCTGAAATGACCCCCTTTCCAGCCTACTCTTTCAGTTCTCCCCCCATTCCCACCCCACCTGATCCCTCATATCCCTATCCCCACCCGTCTCCAGTCCACCCACAAAACCTCTTCTATTTCTCAGAGAGGCCTCTTTATCCAAGTATTTCTTTCTTTTTTTCCAATTTTATTTTTATTTTATTTTATTTTTATTTTTTTTAAATTTCCGCCTCCTCCCAGCCTCCCATTTCCCTCCCCTTCCTCCCACACTACTCCCCCTTCCCCAACTCCTTTCCCCATCCCTCTCCAGTCCAAAGAGCAGTCAGGGTTCCCTGCACTGTGGAAAGTCCAAGGTCCTCCCCCCTCCATCTAGGTCTAGGAAGGTGAGCATCCAAACTGGCTAGGCTCCCACAAAGCCAGAACATGAAGTAGGATCAAACCCCAGTGCCAATGTCTTTGGCTTCTCATCAGTCATCATTGTTCAGAGAGTCCGGTTTAATCCCATGCTTTTTCAGTTCCAGTCCAGCTGGCCTTGGTGAGCTCCCAATAGATCAGCCCCACTGTCTCAGTGGGTGGGTGCACCCCTCACGGTCCTGACTTCCTTGCTCATGTTCTCCCTCCTTCTGCTCCTCATTGGGGCCTTGGGAGCTTATTCCAGTGCTCCAATGTGGGTCTCTGTCTCTATCTCCATCCATCACCAGATGAAGGTTCTATGGTGATATGCAAGATATTCATCAGTGTGGCTATAGGATAGAGTCATTTCAGGTTCCTTATCATCAGCTGCCCAAGGCACTAACTGGGGACATGCCCCTGGGCATCTGGGAGCCCCTCTAGGTTCAGGTCTCTTGCCTACCCTAAGCTGGATCCCTTAATTAAGATATATGCTTCCCTGTTCCCATATCCATCCTTCCTTTATCCCAACCATCCTAATTCCCCAAGTTCCCCCCATCCTCCCCTTCTCACATTTCTCTCCCCATTTCCCCTTACCCCTATCCCACTACCCAAGTATTTCTTACGTAATTCCCTGAGGTTAGTACAATTGTGTAAGGAAGAAAAGTCAAAGGACATAGACATGTTTACAAATGAACTGATTACTTATCAAACTAGCTACCATTTCAACCTTTTCTTACACAGCACATGTATCTCCAGCTAGGTTTTCTGTTGTGTTAGGTCTAAAAGCAGGACTTCAGGCCTCACCCCTGAGTTCCTTCAAGTTGTAATACATAAGGACTTATATTATCTACTCTAGACAAAGAGCGAAATTTGCCTAATTTAGATGTTGGAGAGTTGATTTGGCCCTAGAAAATAACTTAATTTCAAAATATCAGAAGCAGCCGGGCGGTGGTGGCGCACGCCTTTAATCCCAGCACTCGGGAGGCAGAGGCAGGTGGATCTCTGTGAGTTCGAGACCAGCCTGGTCTACAGAGCTAGTCCCAGGACAGGCTCCAAAGCCACAGAGAAACCCTGTCTCAAAAAAAAAAAAAAAAAAAAAAAAAAAAATATCAGAAGCAGAGCAAAAGCAGCTTACACAAAGTCTGGTTGACTTTGACATCAGTATAGGGCCCAGAACCTAGACCACCCAGCTTTCTGCTTAGTGTGCTGTTTCTACCGTGCTGCTACTTCACACAAAAACTTCTGTAAAGGATCATAATGGGGTTTTCAACTCTGTGCCCATTGTCTGCCATTGTGAACACATTGTATCATATGCTAAAAACTCCAACCAAATCCCTTCTAGAAGCCATCAGATACTAATTTCGGAAGACTTATAGTTTGGTTATCACTATAATATAGCAGTAGATGTTCTATCTCTGCAGTAACCCCATGATTTGCTACATGAGACACTGGACAAATTATTTAACTTCTCCAAACTAAAGAGTTCTTTTTTTACTACGTAAAAATCTTAGTATCTTGGTCTCTAACACCTAGTATCTGTGAATCTCCAAATCTTGGGATTAACAAGTCATAGAGTAGGGCAACTGATTTGTAGTTTCCTAAGTGGGTTTGATACATTTTCTAGAGCTTAAAATGAAAAGAAGAAATATTGGGATGTGTTTTATCAACCCATCTTTCCATCCATCTATTCAAACCTGAATTACCACTCTCATCCCAGCATGCATTTCTCCATTCACGCACCTGCTAACCAATACCTGAATCTTTATTTGTGGCAGGCACTGGGTTTGGTCCTAGCAGATGACCCCACCCTCAAAGGACTTCCAGTAGATTTTCTGCAGTAATTATTTGATTTATATGAATTTTTGTCTCAGTTCCTCCTGCAGTGAGAGTGTCCCAGTCTTCCGCTCTCTCCAGTTTGGTGACTGTTACTTGCCATGTGCAGAGATTCTATCCACGGCATGTGTATCTCACCTGGCTAGTGGATTGCCATGTGCTCAAGAGACTGGAGCAACCTACAGCCAAGAGGAATAAGGATGGGTCCTACACCCTGGAAATCTTGCAATCGATAAACACATCAATGCAGAGGCCTGATCAAGTGCTCACTTGCAAGGTAGAACACGAGGCACAACCTCCCATCCAGGCCAGCATTATATTTTCTGCACCATCCTATATCACGTCCAAAGCCGTTGGGAGCCTAAGTAAGTTCGTCTCTTTTCTCTTGTGCACGTTGGGGTCACCTTGGTTTGCTCATTGCACTACAGAAGACACTAGAAAGACAAGGAGTTATGAAACTCATTGATGTCTCGTCCAGATTAGTGTAGTTTCGTGAATAGGCAGTGGCTTTTTTTAGAGTGACCACCCAGAATGGGTCTTCCACTTCCTTTGAGAGAATGTTCTACCAGTTGAACCTCGTTGAAAATGCCCTAGAGAAAGTTTAGCATAGTGCTGATCTGTGAGATCATGATGTTTGTCACTAGTGGCCATGAGATGTTTGTCACTAAGAGTCTGATTTAAAGTAGTCTCAGAAGTGTGAGGGTAAGCTTGCCTGTACACCATTCTATAATACTTAAACAGTCATATCTGGGGACTGCCTTATGCCCACTCTAATAATAATTAATTAATTATTTCTACTTAGTTATTTCACAAACATATAACCTCTATTCACCAGTCTACTTACCTGCAATAGGGTGTAAATCAGGTTTCCTAATTTATAGAACCCTTTTGAGGGCTAGATGTTAATATACACTGTCTATATAATTGATAGATTGTCTATACTAAATGCCAGCCATTACTATTATTTGAATTTATATAAATTGTTTTCTAATTAATTTCCAATCATTATAATTGTGTAAATTTAGGCAACACAGTCAACCATCTCTCAGAAATCCTATTTCTTCATCTATAAAATGTTACCGATAATGCCAATGTTCTACGATTACAACAAGGGTTACAATAAGTGACTACTAGACCATGGGGACAAAGCATTGATTATATTCATGTTGGCACATTGGTGAATGTCAGATCTTTAAGCAGTGTTTGCTGGAAAAATTCAAGGTAATTCACAGGTCTCTTATTTCTGAGAGCTAACTGTAGAGCAGTGAGCCCAAGGATGAAATGAGAGTTGGGAAATACTTAGAACTTCCTGGCTATAATAAACAAACAAACAAACAAACAAACAAATAAATAACTTCCTGGCTACCCACATCACATAAGTCATTTCAACTCACATGACCCCATGCGTTGACCCCTTTGCTCTGTGTATTTTAGGTTCAGAAAAATCTATCCATATTTTTGTGGCTTTCCTCCTATGCTTCAAGTTACTTCTGGTGGTGAGTGCACTAGCTACCTACATGTATAAGCGGTGGAGCCTGTGACTGGTGAGTTTGACAATTGGCCTTAGTACTTAGAAAGTGAGGTCGCAGTCATGGCCGTGGGTAGTAGAGGACTTCGGAGTAAACACACAGAGGTCACAGGATATGCCTTCAAAGCTTCCCACAAATGATATCTAGCCTCAAGAGGAGATTGTAGTAAACCTCCTTAAATACCATTTGGAATTCTTAGAGGCTCCCCAACTGTGTTCACTGTGTAGTATCCTGGAATTGGAAAATTTTCTAGTATGTTCCTTGGGATTCTGGGTGTAAGAGTTGAAGATGTGAAAATGAAATAATAGTCAAAACCTAAACTCCAAAGAGTCTGCCCACATGTTGTTAAATTTTACTTTGATGTCAACCAATAAAACACATAGAAAAGAATGGACATACTAAGTGGAGGAAAAGAGGCCAGGACTCAGAAGGAGGTGTAAGATGTAATACATAGAGGCTTCATTTCTGATATTACTTTAATAAGTGATTCAGGAGAGAGAGAGACAGAGAGAGAGAGAGAGACAGAGACAGAGAGAGACAGAGAGATAGAGAGACAGAGAGAGAGACAGAGAGGAGAGAGAGAGACAGAGACAAAGAACTGGCCACTTAGTGTGCGTTCAACAAATAGTAGTGGAATTAATACATGAATGAAAAACCAAATGAGCAAATGACATTTCCCACTTCCACATGGCTGGTAACACATTGTCTCCTACCCTCTCTAAGGAGCTCAAATGGAGAGAAGATGAAAAGACCTGTTGGTGACCCAAGACTCCTGCCCTTCGTTCTTCTACCTTTTCCATAGGTGCGCTGCCTCTGTACACTGTCAGAGATGGACTTGGGTTCCTTAGGGATGCTCCAGCCTTGAGATGCTGAACTTCAGATGAGCTCTGCTTCCATCCAAAGGCAGTTCGGTGACAAGGGAAACAGATGCTCGCTGTCTCTGAGTGTGGCCAACCCTTAGTTTCCCAGTTTTCACTACTTTGTATAATTTCTGCAAGTGTGATTTAATTTTAGCAGACACAAAGCTTAAAATGACTAGAATGTTGAAGAAGTATTTTCCTATCTCAAAATGGATTAAAAACAATATAAGATATCTCTGGACGCATTATACCATTTTGCAAAAATATTAACCTTTTGCTGATATCTTCTTCAATTTCTTTTAGAAATCGCCCTGCCTCTGCTGGTTTTCTTTCTCGGTCATGGTTCTCTACCGTTATGACATATGCACAGACTTTAAACATCATAGAGTAGCTTCGCTTTTATTTTTCACAACATTTATTATATTGCATACAGCATTTTGAAACTTTATCTCATTTTTATACTTACTACACCTCCTGCATTTATTAATGTTGAAACATGTAGCTGTTTTATTCATTTTACAGTACTCTGTGGTCTTCTATTGTAACAGTATGCCATATTTTATTAATCCATCTCATAATGGACACTGAACCTGTATTCAGTGCTTTTGCTATTACAGTTTTGCGGCCTTCTTAATCTCTAAGCACGTGGGAGAATCTTTCTTTGTCCTCAAGCAGGGCACACAAAGCAGCAGTGTAGGTAACATTGATACGTTTTGTTAACTCAAAAACAAATTTCAATTTTGAACCTGTGCTCTCATTTTGTTACACACATGCATGTGTGCGTGCACACACACACACACACACACACACACACACACTTTCTTCCTGATGTTGCTGGTGGTACATGTATAATAGGTAGCAGAGACCTTTTATTCCCTACAAGATTAGGTGATCCAATATACACTGACATTGCATATTCAATTTCTATAGTCTGGAGCTGTGTTGATACACTTTATCCATTAATCTACACGTCTAGCTCTGTCAAGACTATGCTGCTTTAGTTAGAATAGTTTTATAATTTTTGTTTTTTTTTCTTCTAGGAAAATTGTTCTAATTTTTCTCACTTAAAATTGTCGTGGTCATTTTTTATTGTTTCTTTGTGACTGCTTTTGTATTTTAAGGAAATTATTCATTGTATGAGCCTTCTGGAAATGGCATTAAACATTCTCCTAAAATATCAGCAGAATCCCTGTGGCTTCAATGTTATCAGAAAATGTTCTTTTATATCAAAACCCTCACAACTGAAACTCGGTACCCCCTAAGTAAACCTAAGCATGAATCAGAGAGAAAGAAACGTTAGTTATTGTGGAGTAAGTGTTGTGCCTAGACCACCACAGAGAGGGAATTTCCAGGGCTCAGGACCCTGATTGGCTGACATTTGCCATGATGGATTCCAACTCTCTGGAACCATAAGCCAAAATAACCCCTTTCTTATATAAATTGCTTTGTTTGTTGTATTTAATCACAAAAAAACCACATCATAAAATTGGTGTGATGGTTAGTTTTCTATCAACCTAACACAAGCTGGGTCATTTGGGAAGAGAAAACCTCAAGTGAGAAGATGCCTCTATCAACATGCCTCTTGGCCTGTGGTCAAGACTGTGGGGGCATTTTATGATTAGTGATTGATGTGACTGGGCCAAGTACTATGAGAGCTGCCACCCTTGAGCAGGTATTCTAGCTCCATCAATTTTCCTGCAAAATTCAAGCTGTTGTTTTTTTTTTTCTGCTGTGTAGTACTCCAGTGTGTAAATGTACCACATTTTCCTTATCCATTCTTCGGTCAAGGGGCATTTAGGTTCTGGCTATGACAAACAAAACTGCTATGAACATAGTTGAGCACATGTCCTTGTGGCATCCTTTGGATATATACCCAAAAGTGGTATTATTGGGTCTTGAGGAAGGTTGTTTCCTAATTTTCTGAGATATCACCACACTGACATCCAAAGGGGTTGTACCAGCTTGCATTCCCACCAGCAATGCAGAAGTGTTCCCTTTTCCCCACAACCTCTCCAGCATAAGTTGTTATGAGTGTTTTTGATCTTGGCCATTCTTACAGGTGTAAAATAGAATCTCAGAGTTGTTTTGATTTGCATTTCTCTGATGACTAAGGATGTTTGAGCATTTCCCTAAGTATTTTTCATTCATTTTAGATTTTTCTATTGAGAGTTTTCTGTTTAGATTTATACTCCATTTTTTATTTGTTCTTTGGATGACCAATTTCTTGTTCTTTATATATTGTGGTCCCAGATATACATCCAGACCCACAGAGGTCTCTCTTTTCTTCCTTTTTTTACTTTCTTGTTATCTTTGATTTCTCTTTTTCTTTCTCTCTGTCATTCATTCATCATTTCTTTCTCCCTTCTTTGTTTTCAGCCTTTTGTTTTTTCAATTTTTTTTACTTTCTGTCTTCATTTTTCTCCTTTCTTTTATTATTTCTTTGTTTCTTTCTGTCTTCCTTCATTTCTTTCTGTTTTTATTTCTGTCTTTATTCTTTCTTTTGATCCTTTACTTCCTTTCTTTTTCTATTATTTATTTTCTTTTTTATCATTTAGGTCCTTGTTTTTCTTCCTTTTTATCTTCCTTTTTTCTTCTGTATCTCTCTCTTTCTTCTCCTTTCGGTCACCTTTCTTTCTGCCATTGTTTATCTCTGTCTTTATTTCAATCTTTCTTCCCTTCTTTATCCTTTTCTCTGTCTTTCTTTCAACGTCTTTCTCTTCTATTCTTTATCTTTTTTCTTTTTTTGCTTTCTAATTTACATTTTATTTTCTTTTATATTCTGTTCTATCATTCCTTTTATTCCTTCCTTTTTCTTTCTTTCTTCATCTTTGTTTCTTCCTTTTTATTTTCTCTCTTTTTCTTTATCTTGCTTTCTTTTGCTCTTTTTTTCTATCTCCTCTATTCTGTCTTCCCTTGTTTGTTTCTCCATTTCTGTCTTTCTGCTTTTATTTCTGTTTTTCTTGTCTCTGTTTCTTCTTTCTGTCTTTTACTCATTCTTTTTTCTTTCTTTCTTCTATGTCTTTTTTCTTTCACTGCCTTAATTGTGTCCTTTATATTCTGTTTTCATTTCTTTCTTTTTTTCTCTCTTCCTTTTTTATTTTTTAACTTCCATTTCCCCCTTTCTGTGTTTCTTTCTCTCTCTTTAGTTTTTCTTTCTTTCCATTTTTCTGTCCACCTGTCTTTGTCTTTCTTAATTTTTGCTGTCCTTATTTCAGTATTTTTTTCTTCCTTTGTCTCATGTCTTCTTTTGTTTTTTTTTCCTGCTTTGTCTTCCCACTTTCTTTCTTTCTGTCATTTTTTTTCTGTTTGCTGTTGTACTAGACTGTTCATGAAAGCTGGTCTGCTATTCCATCTGTGTACATTGCTATACTAACCCATCCAAGGGTACCACTTTCCTACCACCTTTGTATCTGCAGTAGTACTACATCCATGCATACTTGTCTACTAGCATCTTTGTGCACTTCTGTACTACTACACCCTTGTACACCACTCTCCTAGTATAACATATGCATCTGCTGTGTTCTAAGAGTATATACATAGATGCTGTGTTCCTTGAACAACCATGTGCAGTACCAGCTCAACCATGGGCAGTGCTATATTAGTACATGCATATTCTCTTGTGCTGCTGTAGAAGTGCTGGACTTGTCATGACCTACATGCATCTGTGTTACACAGATGAATAGCCAAAGCTCATGATGAGTCAGCATCTGTATTACTCTCTGTCTACTGTTCCTGATGTATTAGCATCTTTGTGTACGCTGAAACTCATGATCTATAAGCTCCTGTGTTATAATCTGCCTATAACTTAGCTCCACTTGTTAAAGGATCTGTGTTAAACTCTTCCCACATCTTCTGGTTATATATATATATATATATATATATATATATATATATTCACTTTCACACTGTGATCACACACAATTTAATGTATATACGTAGCATGTTATAGCTTAGCTTGTTCTTTGTCCTTATTTACTAACTGAGCAATAATTAAGACTTTAAATGACTTGGAGACTGATCCTCATTGGCACCCGAACTCCATAATCATTCAAAAATTCTTTTCCTACCTTCCCTCTGATCATTCTCCTACTTTATCTCCTTGACTGCATTAGTCTTTCTATAATCTCTCCCCAATTCTCAAGTTCAGAAAAGATAGGAAAATTTTTTTAAGTTTGTAGATGTTTGAATGAGAACACCTCCATAGGTTCATCTATTTGAATGTTTGTCCCCAGTTAGTAGAACTGTTTGGGAAGGCTAAAGGTGCGACCTTGTTGGTGTGGACTTGTGAGAGGTGTGTCACCAGGGTAGTCTTAGAGATTTTAAAAGCACACAACAGTTCAGTCACACTCTGTCTGTAGATTGGGATTTAAGCTCTCAGCTACTTAAAGAACATGCTTACCTGACTGCCTTCATGCTCCCTGCCATGATGATCATGGACTAACCCTCTGAAACTGTAAGCAAGTCCTGAGTTAAATGTTTTCTTCTATAGTCTGACATGGTCATGATGTCTCTTTCACAATAGAACAGTAACTAAGACAGAAGTTGGTACCAGAGACTGGTATCATAAGGGATATCAGTAAAATGATTCATATTCCATAAATTGCAAAACACCTTAAAGCATTTACTAGTATAAGCAGGACAATTATCGGTTCTGAGTGTAATAGAAGTCCCGGAAGAGAAGGTGAGTAATAAATGATTAGTGACATCCAAGGTTGTTTGATCCCTGTGAGCAGAAGCAATAATCATATTTTTAAAAAGATGTGCCAATCATTACAAGAGCATATTCTAAACATGCAAATTCTGAGATACGTGTAATATCTGTTTGCAAATGGCATTAGATTTTAACCCTCAAGGATTCATTATGCCAGCAGAGGGCAGTGGTATGAAGGAAGAATAAGATGGAGTAAGATGGAGTTCATAAGATTTCCACACACACACACACCCCCCGCCCCCCGCCGCTGTCTGAAACGAAAGTACCAGGGGCAAGAGAAGGCTGCTGCATCGGCTTAAGCATTAGTGGGTGCTAACAGATTAAAGGAGCAAAATATGAGATGCTGGCAGATTAAATGAGCACAAATATGAGCTATGAAAGTAAGGTGAGTTTGTTGTCATATAGATGTCTGAAGGGAGAGAAATAATTGTGAAATAACATTAGTAGTGGGTTTAGGCTCAAGTCTTGAAATTTCGAAAAGAAATAGTATGAACACAATAGGCAGAGTTGGTTACACTATTCAATGGCTGAGAAGCATCTAATAACAGCTGATTGATTTCCGTCAGTCTGGACTGCTGAGCTGTACAACCAAGGGTGGTTAATCTTTTTTTTGTGGAGAATATGGAATCTGTATATAAAAATAAGATTGTCCATTTGAAGAGCCATCTGTAAAAGCATTAAAGTGATCTCTATAGGATTTTTTAAATGTAATTTTAGATAATACTCGGGGAGTATCTTCAAAAATTCTTAAACGGGGTTCTTTAGGATAGTTGATTACCTGTACATCCCAAGTAGCATGCTACTACTACCTGCTGCTTATCACCAGTGTGGAGCAAATAGTCGACCTGCATTTAGTGGCGTAACGATTTCTGCCGTTTTTTTTTTTTTACCAGTAAACTGTTTGCGAACTGTCCTTCCCGTCACTCTCAAGTCTACACACTCTTAAACAAGGAGTTACAGAAAAAGGAAACACTTCTGCATTGCTGGTGGGAATGCAAGCTGGTACAGCCCCTTTGGATGGCAGTGTGGCGATTTCTCAGAAAGTTAGGAAACAACCTTCCTCAAGACCCAGTAATTACACTTTGGGGTATATATCCAAAGGAGGCTCAATTGTGCCACAAGGACATGTGCTCAACTATGTTCATAGCCGCTTTGTTTGTCATAGCCAGAACCTGAAAAACAACTTAAATGCCCCTTGATCAAAGGATGGATAAGGAAAATATGGTGAACTTACACAATGGAGTACTACACAGCAGAAAAAAAATAATGACAGCTTGAATTTTGCAGGAAAATGGATGGACCTAGAAAACATTATTTTGAGTGAGGCAACCCAGGCACAGAAAGACAATTATCACATGTACTCACTCATAGGTGGTTTTTAAACATAAAGCAAAGAAAGCCAGCCTACAAACCACAATCCTAGAGAATTTAGACAACAATGTGGATGCTAAGAGAGACTTACA